TACGTCGTCAGAATTAAACTTTTATTTAATTTGTCGAGCTACCTTCGAAAGACTTTTATTTTTAAACGTCAATAAATAAATAAAGTTTCGTGCATTAACCCGTAAAAACTAGTTTTATTTAATGAGTGATGTGCGTGAAAACCTAAGAAACAAATAAATAAATATTTCCAACACTCACACCAATTAGCCTAGCCCCAAAGTAAGCACTGTAAGGCTTGCGTTATGAGGGTAAGGCTTACTAGGGTAACGGATAGAATACTTAAATTGTACATATATAAGTATATTTATATAGAAATGCATATTGAACATTCATGACTGGAGTACAAATGCTCGTATTCATCACATAAACATCTGCCCCCATCGGGATTCGAACCCGGGACCTCTGGAGTCGACGACACCATGAAACCCGGCGTACAAAGCACTCGGCCACGGAGGTCGTCAAATAATATAATATTAATGTTGTACGTTTTATGTTTTCTGGAAGAGGTTGGAATTGTAGAATCTTTATTTTTTTTTATTAATGACGAAATAGAAGAGTACCTTTTTTAACATCGACTGATTCATGAAGAGAGAGAAGTTTACTATGGTCATATTAAGTGAAGATTAGTGTATCAATCTACTTGACCCATAAAAGAACTTGTAGGGCGTTCTGTACATGGGCAGCTCTGAAGAGAATTTATTCTAGAAATTCAAAATATAGGGACTGTAGGCCAGGCTAACCTCCCATTAATAGCGAGCATTGTCCAACGTAACATTTATGATAATTTATTTATTTGATATACCATTAACAATTTCACAAAATTTCAATAAAGAAAGATTAAAGATGCAGGTAGTACTCAACCGTGTCAATCGCCATTGCAGGCATGTAGAATATTGTCTATATGTAGATAGGTACTTATATTTTTAACAGTAAAAAATACTATTCGGTTTGAATGTTACCATAAAAATGATATTTGAGGGTTTTGAGTGGAGCATGAAAGATGTTAACATAATGGCATATCTCGTTGTATGCATCTTTATTCTGTTAAACGGTGGAGCTAATTTTGTTTTAAAGGACAGTTAATAAATGATTTAATGGGTTGGCGGGGGATTTTTCTGGGAACCTGGGAATAATGATAGCAAGCGGGTGCCCGCGACATGGCCTGCGTAGAAAAAATCGATTTAACATACAGAACTTCGTACCCCACATCGAGGCCCCTTAATCACAAAAAAGAAGCCTATAATCGTCTCCAAGTTCCCATCTATGTATTGTCTATGATCAATTTCATTATAAACCACTCAGTGATTTAGGGGTAAAAGCGTAACAAACAAACTAACAAACAAATTCACTTTCATAACTTCCCTATTTATCTAAATAAAAAAATCATCGCCGAAATTTATGTACGTACTTAATTTTTTGAAAATTGCTCTAAATTGGACGACTCTCTTTTATTGTGTTCAATATTGTAAGGGTCAATATTTGAATAAAATAAAATTTATAAAAAAATCGAACGATATAAGTATAGCGGTTCGAAGTTCTGCGGGTCAGCTAGGGTGCGGGTTCGAGTTCCGTCTGCTGCCTGGTCCGCGTGGATTTTTTCTAGTAAAAAAAATCTTTAGATTAAAACATCAAGCAATTAAATTTGCTTAAGAAATAAAAAATATAACTAGTTTATAATGCGGGTTCGAAACCCGTCTGCTGCCTGGCCCCCGTGGATGTTTTCTAGTAAAAATTTCTTTACATTTGAAGCCTTAAAAAATAAATAACTATCTCTTATCTATTAGACAAGTCCGTCCATCTGTGGTGCTGTTTCAGCGGCCAAACCGTAAGAGATAGATAAAGAGAATATTTAAGTTATAAGTTAAGAATAGTCTGATAAGACTACAAACCGGATTTGAGCAACGTAGCACTTCCGGTTTTCGAGAAATCAGGTTTTGGTGAACATTTGGTTCACTGGTTTGCTAGTAGTTTATAATAGTTAGGACATATATAATATATAGACGGGTTATACGTTTATATACGTTTATTACGGTTGTATCCTAGAAAAATTTCAAGCTGGGCCACCCTAGCGTCTCTATATTTGCTTGGAAAAATGCTTAGCATCTGGCCTCATTCGGTTTGGCAATTAATTTGACATGAGGGAGCATTCCTTGGACGGTGCGCCATTAGTAAAGCCTTGTTATTGGACACTGAAAAATATACCACACATAATAATGTACACAACAACTCATAGAGCAACGCGGCAAACGCGGCCAGGAGGGGAGTAGGTATTCACAGCGTTCCCCTCTGTCGATTTTTCCCTTAGATTAAAACAAAAAGGGTAGACTAGCCTCACAAAACTGATCCGCATGAATTGTGGTCCACGACCCTAATCGCTTTAGTCACAACTTGACATGCAAACGAGGTACATGTGAACGCCAAAAAGAAATATTGCTAATATTTTGTGTTTATATGATAAAACAATGCCTAAGTGTGTTTTTAAAAAGTGATCAAATTGCTCAAGAACTAAAAATAACACCCACAGCATCACTTTTCATTCGCAAGTACTATAAAAGATATTATTATATTTATTCAAAAAATGCTGTTTGTTTTGAATCTTATTCGCTAGTGACTGGACGCGTGATTGGTCGGTAATGCAGTGACGCGGATCTCGCCGTCTCGTTCGCGCTGCCGTTAAAACTTACGTGCTGTTTCGTTCGGGTCGGTAATGCAGTGACGCGGATCTCGCCGTCCCGTTCGCGCTGCCGTGGGATCAGTTTTTGTTTGATGCAAGTATGAGCGTACCGTATCTACCCTTTTTGTTTTAATCTAAGATTTTCCCCCACTGTTGGGCCAGCTCAAAAAGATAACTAGTTCCGCGTTTCTTGTTTCCATTTCTTCTGGATTTCTTAATAATGGCGTATAACACGTTTTTATAACGCTCAATAGGGTATTTGACAAGTTTTAGAAAACGATCTCACGTTATTGATTATTTATGAATTATCCGTGAAAAGTGGATATTCATAATTCTGTTGTGTATTTCAGTAAAAATAACCAAATCAAAAACTCCATTTTCAAATTGCCGCGAAAACATTTCTCTGGACAATATGGCACCTCACTAATGTGTGACGTCACACGAGTGTTATTAAAACGTCAAACGATACAATGTAATGTCACTTTAACCGGAAGTTTACTTGCGTGTGACGTCATTTTAGGCTCCGCCAATCCCAAGCGTTTTTGGTCACGTGACAATAGATAAGAAAACTATTGATAATAGTTTTTTATTCGTTAGTTTTTAGAAAAAATACGAATATTTTTTTTGTGAAAATAGTAAAAACCCCAGTCATGTTCATTCTAAACACATATGCTAACAATTGACACTTTATTTTTAACACTGTCAAATACCCTATTGTCAAATTACTATGCAGTTTGACAGTGAGACGCGATAAAAAACGTGATATAATGCAAATTGTGGTGCCCATGCTACGGGGGCTGATTTGACTTTTTATCGACTCACTGTGGCTACCAGTAATATGAACAAAGATTTGCCGCATGTGCTATTTTTTACCGGGACACATTATCCTTTCTTCTTATACGACCCGGTGTCATAAAAACGCTTCACTCTACATAACTGATGTCTCACTCTGATAACAGAACTTGGATGACGTTAGTGTCCTGTATACGGGTAGAGTAACTTAATATAGTACCTACCAACTATCCTACTTACTAAACTAATGTATATATTCAGTGTTACTAGTTCAGATTACAAACAATAAGCAGATAGAAAGCCCGGAACACGCAATGCGTGGCACCGTAGCAAAGACGAAGTCGAAAGCTGCTATCAATTCGCGTTATACACCACAACGCATCGTGTTGTGAATGGCTACTTTTCCAAAATAACGCAAATAAAAACTATGATATTTTCACATCACTGACACGGGTAAATCTTGAGGAACATGTGGATATATGACACTTCAAGATTAAATAATGAGAAACGTCACAATTTTTCGCGAACGCGTACTTTTAACTGATGAAACAATATTTAAAGTTCAGAAAGCACTTCATTTTTATTAACAATGCCATCTAGATATTTAGCCTAAACTAAAGAGATCACCAGCAGCGCTAAGGATGCTTTCTTAAGCGTGCTAATGAGCAAAAAGGGATCACCCACAGCGGACACTCAAGTGTCCTCGGACGTTTGATTGGAAAAACTTTTGTGACCCTCAAGTTTCATGGGACGTTTGGGAGGGTACAAAATTTGAGAAAAGGCATCACAACAACCGTGGTGTTTTGTATACCTGTACGTATTATAAGTTTGTAGAGATTTTTCATAATTTTTATATCTATCGCAAAAGCAAGGCCGTGTTTTTGTAATCAATCCACCCCGTAAACTCGCGGGGTACCACTACTAGGTTCGATCCCGGTTAGGGTCAACTTATAAAATTAACTTTTTTTATTTTCTTGGGTGTAACTGATTATTTTATCGTAGTTTTTTCTGATTCCCTTAGTACAAAAGCTTCAATTATCTAATTTTGAATAGAAATATTATGCATATGATGTTTTACAATATTTATTTAATAGATATTATCTTATATGTTTATTACAGTTTATTTCTTGCTCTAATAAAATATGTAAATAATTTGTGAAACTAAGCATATTCTTATACGATTACCTGCCGTAATCTTTTGTAGCAAGACTAGCATATAAAAATGCGTGCTTTAAATTATCTAACCTTTAAAATAATTTGCTAGAAATTCCTTAGATGGAGCGATCGCAAGTACATATTTGAAATTTGGTATCCTAGTAATAAAGCTTTTTTTGTTGACGAAAAATATAACTTACATTAAAAAGTAACGCACTTTTTCTTTATTTTTTCTTTTTCTTTGTGCTATTATTTATTTTTCGAAACAATTTAAGTATAAAATATTTAATTTTGACCTAGAGAGTTGAATTTTAACACAGTTCTTGTCAAAACGCCATCTTTCGTCCAACACACGTAAACGCATCTTCAATTTCTCTAACCACCGTCTTTTAATTACAGACAAAATCCGCAAGAAGTACGCGTCGCTCGGCGACAGCGTGGTCGCGGTCAAACTGGAGCGCAGCCCGAAAGCTGGACTTGGACTCTCGCTGGCTGGACATAGGGACCGGAGTCGCATGGCCGTGTTCGTATGCGGTCTGCACCCGGCGGGCGCGGCGGCCAAAGCCTCGCCCGCGGTCAAGGTCGGAGACGAGATTCTGGAGGTGAGTAGCGCCATCTGTTGAGGAGTAGCGGTAACTAAATCCTAATAAGCTGGAACTTTTAGAAGAGGCCAAGCGGGGATTTTTGGATTTACTCGAAAGCGGCAGAATAACTTTTTTTTTTCAAATTTCATGAGTTTAATTCCCATTTGTAGCAGGCGATTTAAAATAAACTGTTAATGTATTTTTAGTTATTATTAAAAATAAGATGATATCTTCTTATTAAAATATCCTATCTCCAATATTTAATATCCTTGCCTACCTATAATAACTTCTTCATCTTCATTTTCCTATGAGAGATTGATACATACCGTCAAAATTCTTCAAACTTTCCTTCAGCTACAGAATTTTCTCACGTAATAAGACGTTATTCGCAAATGATATTTCACTTCACAGACATCAAAGTGAATTCCTAACATTTTCTATTATAAAACTGTCAATTGCCGAAATTCTCAGACCACATCGGTCACCGAGACGCGACGTCTCCAGTATTTGTTGAGTATATTTGGAAATAAGTAGGCGGACGTTGGGGTCTTATTTCTGAATCAGTGGTTTAGATTCTATCCCTCGATCCTTTTCATCTTCTTCATACTAAAGTGAAACTTTTATTACATCGCTACAAATTTTTAAAGTGAAAACTTCTTTGGCGGCGTTGTACACTTTTTTTGTATGGGTAAAAAATGTTAAACTCGCGTCAGGTTAAACACGTGGGCTGATCGCATCATGACACATAATAAAATTGGAAAGGTTGTTGACTTTCAATATATTGGACGAAACATAGTAATATTTTATTTTACCGTATTATAATAATAAGTCTTTATCTAGGACGTCCACGTGGCAGCTTTATTGCGAAGAAAATACATTTTTTTTACAATAGATGTCGCTAGGTGCGCTTAAATGTGATTCATGTAAGTTGATTTCTTTACAATAGATGTCGCTAAGTGCGCTTTAACGTGATTCATGTAAGTTGATTTTTCTGAGAGATAAACTTTTTTAATGTAATATAAATTGTCATGTTTGTGTACGATAGCGCAATAAATAAATATTGTATTCTGCCACATACATGATAGTACTTTTATACTGATAATTAAAGCAATTCGTGCAAAATTATTCCCTAACCATTTTAAAATATCAAAAATGCACAACGTTAATATTCAAGTTTTCACTTCTGCCGGCACTCCCGGAGTACAACCCGTAGTTTTTTCTTCATCTTAAGCATGTTACATTTAATTGTAATTTTAAAATATTCAGCCCTCAACAAGCATAGGCGGTTGAGTGGTAGAAAGTTCACCTGCCACCCGTTCGATGCAGTGTTTTATTTTTCATTATTTAAAAAGTTACACTTGCGTCCTTTCTTATGTTGGTTACGTTTGGTTAGGATCGTTAAGTCTGAACTTGTTTTTTCTTAAAAATACTAAATTATCGGCAATTTTACCTGTAGGAAAAAATGCACTTCACTGTATTATGAATTAAATTTCCTTATTACAAAGCGTCACCCCATGTTAAATTCCATAATATAGTTTTGTGAGCTTCAAGTTAGTTTTATCATCATCATAATAATATCAGCCATACAACGCCCAATGCTGAGCATAGACCTCCCCTAAGGTTCAAAACACCCATCGGCCCTATGCCAAGTTCGTTTGATGACAAATTAATTGCAGATTGGCCAAAATGCTGTTTTAAAATCCCTAACTGTTTTATTACAAAGTAATTCATTCTGCTTAAAACTACAGAGAATTATTTTCAAACGGTCAAGTGAAAGAAACATACGAATAATAATACATTTTTCTAACACACACACCAATTAGCCTAGCCCCAAAGTAAGTACTGTAAGGCTTGTGTTATGTAATGGAATACTAGGGTAACGGATAGAATACATATATTTAAGTATATTTTTTATTTAGTGCTACATATAAACACACATGATTTAGGCACAAATGATCGTATATATCACACAAACATTTGCCCCGCCCGGATTTGAACCCGGGACCTCTGAGTAGGCGAAACCTTGAAAACCGGCAAACATGCCATTCGAGTCACGAAGGTCTTTGGAATATTATACAGATACCAAATAAAACACGAAATTCTCATGATCAAATGAAAATTTACTGAAATCGAACGCCAAACGCGAGTCGAGCGATTCTGAAATAGTGCCCAGAGAAGGGCTGTTATCTTCGACCTGCTACTGTCACTGAAGAATTACAACCATCCTTCATTCTGCCCGCAGCATTTAAGCATCCATAGCTCCAAACAAACTGAGTTTTTGTTATCAATTAATTTCTTTTATCGACCAAATCTTTGACACGTGTAATATTGCTTTGTTAAGCGAACATCTTTACAGAATGAGCTTAGTTATATTTATAGAAAATTGTATGATAAGGCATAACTCACACTATTATAATACTTTTTGACAATTGTGATACAAGGCGATTGGCAAGAGAGGTAGGGCATATCTGATTCCCGCTCGAATTGGAACGCCCGCCTGGGGAGGTAACCTCTACCTTACATAATCACTTCATCACAGTTAGTGTCGCCGCACACGGGCCACCGACCACAACCACAAAACGCCGCCACCGGCATATTTCTTGTAGTTTTCATACATTTTATATGGACTCGCCACACACGGTACGCTGGTGGCCGCCACACGCTACAAATCTTGGTTGCTCGCTTCTTGTGGCCCGCACTTAATGCGCCGATACAAACCGCCACCACACGTCACTCGAGCGATACCCCACCCTTCTCTCCCTTACCTTAGTCGGCCGCTGTCGCGCGCTTCAGCCAATTTAGTAGCCGCTTCTAGCTTCTCGTGGCGGCGTTTGTGGCTGTGGCGTGTGGCCCGTGTGCAACGACACTAAAATAACACCACATTTTGGCGGTGTTGTGTTTCCATCGGTGAGTAAGGTTTCAGGGCTCCGCAGGGTAGGCTGTTAGGTCAGGGTAGGCAACGGTGATGAGTGAGTTAGTGATGTTTTTGGTCGCAAGCGTATTTAGGTTATAGTGGTCGGTTACCATCAGGCGGGTCACACACTTGATTGTCATACCCTTATCCTTTTAACATTAGGCGTTTAGCAGACGACGGGGCGGGGCGGGCCGGTCAATTTCGCCGCGAATAATAGCACAAAGTGACTATACTTCAAACGCACACAGCGGTCAAAAAGACCGCGCCTTGGGTGCCCGGCGGGCAGTGGCGGCGCGGCATGTCCGCGGCTGCCCGCCGTGGATCATACAAACCAGTTTATATGCAGTAACGCAGACTATCACTAGAACGAACGTCCTAAACTGACCGCCTCTGCCCGTCGTGTGCTTTGTGTACGCGGCGCGGGCAGCCGCAGACATCGACGGGCAGACGCGGTCTTTATTGCTTCGCGGACAAAATGCCCGCCCCGCCCCGTCGTCTGCTCAATGCCTTACTGTCCCTCTCATATATTTTGTTTTTCTGCTACATGTAATGTAATGAGTTTTTGCAATGTAGTTTTGCAGCAAAACAGTGAAAACCAGTCCTCGAAAGAAAATTACTTAGATTATTTTGACGACCTCCGTGGCCGAGTGATTTGTACGCTGGTTTTCACTCACGGTGGGGGCAGATGTTTGTGTGATGAATACGAGCATTTGTACTCTAGTCATGGATGTTTAATATGTATTGCTATATAAATATACTTATATATGTATTCTATCCGTTACCCTAGCATCCCATAACACAAGCCTACAGTGCTTACTTTGGGGCTAGGATAATTGGTATGAGTGTTGGAAATATTTATTTATTTATTTCAACCGTGCAATAAAAGAGTTTTATTTTTCTCTGCCAGTTGACGTTTTTTATCACACATATCATCATGTCCTCTGTGAAGGACAGCGGGTCCTATTATTTGATAGCATCTCAATGCTGTTAGCCACTCTCTTGGCGTACTTAAGTGCAGTACTTATTTATGATTTCATCCCATTGCACTCTGAGGGGTCGATATGGGTATTATGGGTAATGAAATGAAATGAAAGTTTATTTGCATGAAACATAGTTTGTTACAGCTGGTACATAATATAAAAAGTTCCATATGTTTCGCCCTTGGAAGGGCATACAATATACTTATAAATTATCTAAAAATTCAAATTTAAATAGAGTAATAGTTGCATTTCAAATGTCAATTTAATAATCAAATGTCAATAAAATTGGCCAAAACTATAAATAACATGTCAATATGTACTTGCACTTCAATTAACAAATGTCTATAAATTTGCCATAACCATGAACATAGTAGAATAAAAATAAAATAAAATCACAATTTGTCAGTTAAAAAAATGGGTGCATGTACTTATGTAGGCGCGTGAGAAGTTATCCTTCTTTGGCATCGTTTAAAATTAGTTTTTAATTGCATGCAAATAATTAATTACAATAAATTAATAATAAATGACATTTCATTTCATCAATCTGCCCCACGGTCACTTGGCAAATAAAATATTACAAATAACGCGCCCGCGGCTAACTTCATTATGTTAAAATTTTGTGTTACAGTGATGAAAATTTCACACTCATAATTTTTTCATAACGCGGCTAAAGAAGTATAACATCAAAAATCTGATACACTATAATAACATTTATCAATTAATAATTTCTTAATTTTCTGTTTAAACAGATTATAATTTAAATCTTTCAAAGATGTTGGGAGTGTATTATATATTCGAGGAGCCATACAGAATATATTATTTCCCATTAGAGTACGATGTTTATTTATTTATTGCATGTCACATTACATGCAGGATGGTACATTAAATATTATGCTGGGTAAATATGTGACGCCCTGCAAGGGCATAGCAAATATCAAACCAGAGGGCTCGTTAAATTATATTATTTAATTTTAATAATTTGAATAGGGCCGTGGTAGCATAATGGTCAGTGCATTCGCCCGGATTGCGAAAGGTGCGGGTTCGAGTCCCGTCCGCTGCCTGGTCCGCGTGGATATTTTTCTAGTAAACTATTCTTTAGATTTAAACATCTAGCAGTTAAATGC